AAAAAAAAAAAACAGGCGGGGATTGATTGCCTCGCTGCGCGGCGGGTTGAAACAGGCGGGGGATTGATTGCCCTCGCTGTGCGGCGGGTTAAAACCGGCGGGAAAACAGGCGGAATTGATTGCCCTCGGGTGTGCGACGGGGGGTGTGAAACACGCGGTTTGAGGGCTGAAAGACACGTGGCGGAAGGGGGTTTTCGCACGAGAACTACTAAATGGCTTTTGCCACGTGTGCGGCCATGGCCTCTGCTTCGTCTGCTCCCGCCAGCTGGCGCTTACATCCTGCCATGGCTACTTCGACGTTGATGACTCCTCCTCCTCCCTCTTCGTCTTCGTCGGTGTCTCCGTCTTCGTGTTTGTTGACGTCATCATCGCCATCGCCGCGGTCGGCAGTTCTTCTGGGGGAACGGCCGGCTCCTCCTTCCCCTGTTCTTCCTCCTCTTCGCCTGCCGATTTCGTTGACGTCATCTCGATCACCCTCCTCCCCTCCGTGCTCGTCGTTGTCTTCGTCTTCCCGCCGCAGCAGCTCTTTGTTGCCCCGGTGCACTGTATCTGGTCGCAGCCATCACCATGCTCTTGCATCGAGGAGGTGGGTGGGGACGGTCTCTCCTTCTTCCAGCAGTCTTGGCTATGGCCGCTCCAGTGATGGGGATAGGTTGAGAGCTGCCGCGCTGTCGTCGTGCTTCTTCGTCGGGTCGAGGGTCCTCCTGCCCGGACACGTGGCGGGGGCCCAGAGGGGGCAAAGGACACGTTGCGGCGGCGCGTTGGAGGTTCAGGCGATGAAGGACAAAGTGGAACAGGCTCTGGCTACAGGGATACGGGTTGGAAAACAGAGTTGGGATGCGGCGGTTGCGATGGTGCCAGAGTCGGTACCCCGACCAGTTGCCCGAAGCGGAGTTGGAGTGGTGGGAGTGCTGATTGCGTGGACTATCCTCAAGACCTTGATATCGACTGTCTTGTCATTGGTTGTCGTCGCTGGCGTAGGGTTTGTGATTTTCCGCTACCTCGTCGGGGGCGATGGCTCGGGGGGACAAGGAGGGGGGGGGATGGGCGGAGGCAGCGGCAGTATGAACGACGATGAAGCGCTAGCAGAGGCCAAGAGGATCATGGACAAGTACAAATAAGGCACACCGACACCCTCACATTCACTCTTTGCACCCTCGCATACATATGCGCACACACTGACACGCAGACACGGACACAGAGACACACAGAGACACACACACACACACACACACACACACACACACAGAGAGAGAGAGAGAGAGAGAGAGAGAGAGAGAGAGAGAGAGAGAGAGAGAGAGA